TGGGAGCCGCAATCGGCCAAACCTGCGGACGCGGCAGGTAAATAAACCGGCCCGGCCCGCCAGGGGCTTTCCCTGCACAAGCAGCGACCCCAGTTTGGGAACCACTGATTTAAATGCTTTCCTGCATAGGGATGCTTTCTTGAATCGGGGCCTTAATGGAAAGATCTATATTTTATGCTGAAGTTATGACACCATTTTTAAATCTCTCGCCAAAATAAACAAACATAATGGTTGAAATCCTGGCTCCACTGAAGTCAATGGCTGAACCCCCAGTGATTTCAGTGGGGCCAGGATTTCACCCAGTGTCACTATCAAAATCCTGCTTTCTTGTAGTTAATAGAATACGATGTATTTGAGACACTGAATTAGATTAACTTCCTCACACAGTAATTTTCTGTAGCTGGAATGAACATCCAGCAATAAAAAGTGACAGATCTGTGGACAGGATCCAGGCAATTAACTTTCCTATTTTCCAGTGGATCATATTTATAATTCAAGGTCATGTGGAACTTTGCATCTCTGGGAATAATATGAAACAAAAAACCAGAAAGTGTAGCAGAGGATTCTGTTCTGATTTGTGGGCACTTCTCATCTCCCATGTAGTTCCCTTTGTAAAGGGGCATTGTTGAGATATAAATCACCACTGTGCTTTTATGTGTGTGTGTCTATCCTTCCTTGCAAAATCATCCTTAAATTCTACTGTATAAAGTCCACTTGCTGCTTCTCCTTGCCATATTTATTATGATCAAACAAAAGGTATTTCATTTTCCCCACTAAAATTAACTCACTCTAGTGTGCTCCCAAGTTCTTCACATACATACTTTTGGGAACCAAAGTTATGAGAACTCAGAAACTCCGACGTAAATAAACATAACTGTATTTGTTGATAGTGCCCCACTGCTCCTGGAAATGCAGTTTTGGACACAAACATCAACGTTTTTGTGCACAGAAGACATAGGCACCCAAAAGCAGGTGTCTGGAAACTTACAAGCACATTTCAGCTGTTCGGGTTTGGATGCCATTAATGAAAATTTGGTCCTGTGCAGTTTACATAATAAACGCTGTGGTTTAAGGGCCTCATCCAATGCTGACTGAAGTCAGGGAGAGTCTTTCCATGGCTTTGGCCCAGGCTGTAGATTGTTTGTGCATTAAACAGGGGCTACGTGTAGGCTGTGTTTATACAATGACAAGCAAACAGGCAGTGAGCAGGACATAAATCAGCATTTGTATGTGAGATCAGTGCAGAATCCGAGGTGCCAGAATGGCTCATTGAGTAAACTCCCCAACAAGAATGAGAAAATGTACATTTAGCAGAGTGAGCCTAACTGCCCCCTCTCCTCCCGCAGGCAGTGGGAGGTTAACCATGGAGCTCAGTGGGAGTAGAGTTGGGCCCTCCTGCCAAGCCCACCCTTAGTTGCTGCAGCTTGTGAGTCATATGCTGCCCTCACCCTCCCACCGTAAAGCTAGTCACGAGAGTTTGGTATCTCGGACACGACACAGGCGTGTTTCTTACAACTGGGACATGGTGACAGGACTTCAGACTCTAGGTCTGGCTTTGAGATACGAGTATTGCCCTCCGGCTGCTGTTAGCCTGGTGGGCAGCCAGATGCCAGTAGTAGCCTTATATCAAGGCTTTCTGATGATCAGCCATAGGACCAAAGTCTGCCCTTGAATGGATGCTTGGGGATCCTGCTTCATCCCTGGTAGCCCTGTGTGCGCATCTGAGGGCAGAACTGGTCCTTTTACAGTTTCTTCAAAAATCATATATTGAGATTATTGGACTAGTTCATTCCAGCCAATCTGACCACACTGAAACGGGTGTGCATGGCGTATGGATCCCACAAACAATAATACTGTTAATAAATAATACAATCCCTCAGCCTGCTGAGCAGACACTAAAGTCAGGTCGGGTTCTGTGCCCACCAGCCCATCTGCATGCAGATTTAGTGGGCCCATTGGTGTGGGCCCATTCAGTATTTTAGCCTTGAAATTCTAGCCGAGCGGCCGTGCTACAAGCATGCTGCAGTTGTGAGTTCAACACTGCTCTGCAGGACAGCAGGAATCACTCTACCCACCTATCCACTAAGGCATATCTGCCTGCCACCACTACCAGCTTGGTGTCTGAGCACCGGGGAAGTGAAGCAGTTATATGAAACCCACATTCTGAAGTTTAACAGATTTAGAGCAGGTGCTGCTGCCTTGCAGAATCTGTACTCTCCCTTGACTTTCTCTGTATATTTGCTCTTCGTTGAATATTAATTGCCGTGTGCTTTTATGCTACCAGGCTGTCCTTGTGGCTGCAGCAGACGGTAATTGTAGAACTTCCAGTTTCAATATTTACCAAACAAAAGGGCTTTAGGCTACTGCCTGCATAAACCACTTCTAATGAAATGGGGTGTCAAGAAACGGCCAGGGCTTTTTAAACGTCTGGTGGAGACGAGTTTCAGGAGCTCCTGGATTTCGATTAGTGGGGACCTGTGGTTTAGGGCAGCAAAAGGGACAGAGTGGATGGCTGGATCCACTGCCACTAGATTTGTCTCTGTAGGTGGCTAAAATGTTACTTATTAGGCCAATCAGCTGAGCAGAATGAGCCCCAGATGTTTCCAAAACCAGATCCCCACAAGTCAACATTAATTTGGATGCACTGTCTCGTAAGTAATACGCTCACATTCTCACTGTCTACCTGGGCCACGCCCCTGTCCCTTCCATCTGCGACCGCGTCCCTGGAACCCCAGTATTGATCCTGATCGGATAAAAATGTATTCATTATAGAAGCTACTGGGATAGTCAGAAATATAGCAACTGCTTAAAGCCACAGGAAACCCCCTAGCATGGGCAGTAGGGCTAGAAAGTGCCACATCTGCTGTGCATGCAGGTGCCATGTAACACCAGGAGCAAAGTGCTCTGTCCATGGGAATAAAACGCCTCGACAAACACTCAAATGAGGGTGATCTTCTCGGACCACAGCAGACCCAACACATTTTGACTCCCCAGCCAGGCAGGCATGGTAACGAAGCTATGCTTCCATTTACCTTGTTACGCTTGGCAAATGTAATTGTAACTCAATGCACCATTTTCCTAACTGACTGCACGGGCCCTGGGAGGAAGCAGTGGGAGTCAACAATGCAGGTGGAAATGGCACGAAACAGAACAATCACAAGAGCCAAAGGAAAGTTAACTAATGATACTCTTCAAACTAGCACAACTCACTGCTGCTACAGACAATAACCAGAGCTGCTCTGCTAGGGCAAAGGACACCGTTGCTTTTATGCCCTAAATCACCTTTTTTTCTAGGGTTAGTGACAGTCACTGGGGGATGAAATGAGGCCAGATTCTGCTCTGTTACACAGTGTGCATCTGGGTGGAACTATTCCAGATTTGCACGGGTGTATCTGAGAGTAGGTATTATTCAGTTCTCAGTACGGCTATACATTTCACCCCGATCCCCCCCAAAGTTCATGAAGTTGGTTACCTCAAGCTTCTTCTAAAATATACCTTTTTTTCCCCCAGTAGTAAGTTTTTGGTGGCTTCAAATATTTTTCAGAGCTTTTTTTTAATCCTTCCTAGAAAACGAGCCAAGAATTTTACAGCATTCCTGCCTGCTTTTTAAAGAGATCATGGCAAGGCTGGGAGAACCAAAATGTACCCAACATCCTCTCTGTTGTTGCAGCCTGTTTTCAAAGTCTGCATAAACCAGTTTTTCAAAGCTAAACGTGCACAGTTGCATACCAATGTTTGCATATGTCTAACTGGGTGTGCCTATTAGGTATTTGCACACACCATATTGGATCTGTTGCTATGAACAACCCTATCATAGCAAACAAGAGTGTACAGGGAGTATCCCGACAATAACAAACTAGTGTGCACAGCTCAAGTCTCACCAATCACCCTACAGTAACAGAGCAGGGATCATTGTCTACTATCCATGAGTGGTATGACAGAAACAATCCAGTATATGCAGTCCAGCAGTCATGAGTAGTCCCACAGTAACATAGCAGTGTGCAGGCAGGATTGAGGATAAATGCTTCTGGATGAAAACAGACTTCAGCTTCTAACTTCCAAGGTATTCAGTTATTTCCAAAGGATAAAAATGTTTAGAGTTATGAAAAATATTTGAGGACTGTGTCCTTTATATTCTTCTCCCCTATCCTAAGTGGGATGGCTGTTCTCAGGAGGGGCGTACCACGGGAACATCCGTCAGAGGTAAGGTCTGGTCTTGCATGGAATATGATACGAAATATGAAAGAACTGAGAGAGGCAGGATGGAGATCAGTGCAGAATTCCAAAAGGGAGGTCTTTACACATCCGCTTTTGTTTCTGTGGTTATCTTCCTTCTCAGCAAATAGCCATTGCTCGGGAGGGTGACTTGCTGACCAAGGAGCGGCTGTGCTGCGGGCTCTCCATGTTCGAGGTGATCCTGACGCGCATTCGCAGCTACCTGCAGGACCCAATCTGGCGTGGGCCTCCCCCTACCAACGGGGTCATGCACGTGGATGAGTGTGTCGAGTTCCACCGGCTCTGGAGTGCCATGCAGTTCGTGTACTGCATCCCCGTGGGGACAAACGAGTTCACTGCAGAGTGAGTTTGCCTGCACTGGTGCTGGCCTCAGCGCTGTTTGTGGGTTAGCGTGTGCCAGCTGGGCATGCTCGGGATTGTGAGGGATACCCAGGCTCTTAGAGAAGCGTGTTCTGATAATGTGGAACCCTAGGTAACAACCAAGCTGGTGATTAGAGCATCATTTATAACACAGGGGCGTGGGGATTGGATGGCTCACGGATCAGTAATGTAATACAGAGCCTTTTACCTCCACTGCCAGTTCAAAGCCCGCTGCAGCTGGACAGGACTGTCTAATGGCAGCCCATAAGAAATACTTCTGGCGCTGCCAGGGAACTGATATCCCAGTCACAAAAGCCAGCCCCACAAAGAGAGGCCAGGCATACAATGGGCTGAGACACAGAACTAGAATAATAATAATAATAATGCCTTGTTCTTGCGTAGTAACTGTTAGTAGATCTCACAGCACAGCAGGTCAGGATCATTATCCCCTGTATAGATGAGGGCACAGATTTGCCCAGAGTCACCCCACAGGCCGAGCCAGGAATAGAATCCAGGTTTCCTGAGGCCCAGTGCAGTGTGCTGGCCACTAGGCCACATTGCCTACGCCTTAGGGTTGCCGTGGAGCTGGGGAGATTGGGCTGGGCCTGTTCTGTGGCTGAGCAGAGGACTCCAGTCTCCAGGGCTGTTCATTTGGCATCATTCACAAGTAGTAACATTCACAGAAAGTGTAAAAGCCGGGATAGAGCATGAGGGGAGGACAGGCACGGAGATGAAAATGCAGGCAAATGGGGCCACCGGCAGCGACATCGTCCACAGCCTGAGGCAATAGAGAGAGAGGGAGCGCTGTGTAAGATACCAGGGTTATCCCTAGTGTAAAGGAAGATCTCACAACAACTCTTCCACTTACACCAAGTGCGTTGATATTTTCCCTTCATTTCTGCACAGCCACGATAAGGGTGGTGATGAAACAACCCCTTGTCGATGAAATGAGATTGTACTGCCTTAGCCTAACTCAGCGGTTCTCAAACTGTGGGTCGGGATCTCAAAGTGGGGCTGGCTTAGACTTGCTGGGGCTCGGGGATGAAGCCCAAGCTGCACCGCCCGGGACCGAAGCTGAAGCCTGAGGGATTCAGCTCTGGGTGGCAGGGCTCAGGTTACAGGCCCTCTGGCTGGGACTGAAGCCCTTGGGCTTTGGCTTTGACCCCCTTCCACACCCAGGGCAGGGGGCTCAGGCTTTGGCTTTGACTCCCCCATCCGGGGCAGTGGGAATCAGGCTTTGGTTCCCCCGTCCTGGGGTCATGTCGTAATTTTTGTTGTCAGAAGGGGGTGGCGGTGCAACGAAGTGTGAGAACCCCTGGCCTAGCTGCAGCCTTCTGGTCTGTTTAGTTTTTGAGGGGAGGAAGGTTTGTTTTAATTTTTTCTCCCAATTTGCATCCTGTTGTTGTTTATTTCTATTACTGGGGTCCCTAACGAACCCAGCGAAGATCAAGGCCTCATAGTGCTGTACAAACACAGCGAAACAGAAACAACAAGGAGTCCGGTGGCACCTTAAAGACTAACAAGGTGCCACCGGACTCCTTGTTGTTTTTGTGGATACAGACTAACACGGCTACCTCCTGATACTTGACAGCGAAACAGACTTTGCCCCAATGAGTTTTCAAGCTAAATAGGAAGATAAAAGATGGGAAGAGAAACTGAGGCACAGCGAGAGGAAGGGACTTGCTGGAGGTCACCGAGCAGCTCATTGTCAAAGCTGGGAATAAAAACTAGGTCTTCTAAGTTCTGTCCGCTAGGCCATGCTGACTGCTTTGAGCTTCGAGAAGACAGGCTGGCTCCACTGGGGTTCTGCATGGCTGCTTTTTAGTTCATTTGCTCTCACACACGGTAGCTGTATGAAAGAGTCAAGACAGCAGGAATTCAGTGAGGAAGGTGACTCATATCATGCGGGACAACCCTTCTCTAAATAGCTCCTCTCATGTCTCTCTGGCCCTCTCCAGGCAGTGCTTTGGAGACGGTTTGAACTGGGCAGGCTGCTCCGTCATTGTTCTCCTCGGGCAGCAGCGGCGCTTCGACCTCTTTGACTTCTGTTACCATCTGCTGAAGGTGCAGAGGCAGGATGGGAAGGATGAAATCATCAAGAACGTGGTAAGGCCAGGGACAGCCACCTCCCACCCCCTTTTGAAGGGTCAGAAACGCAAAGCGACCCTCTCCCTGCTCTGGCACCGTAGCAGGATCTCGCTGTTATTCACAGATGGACAACAAGGCGCTGAATCCCCAACGGGGGACCCGGCGTGTCTAGTGTTACCCTGTGTCTTTAAACAATGCCCAGATTGGGCTAGAGCCATCCACGGTGGGAGTCCTACCTGGCGTTGCAGCAGAAAGGCCAGGGCTTCAACGGGGCACGGGAACTAAACCCTTTTGCTCTTAAAGCGGGGACCTTCAGCTTGGCCGTGGGGAGCTGCATACAAATAATAATTAATAATAATGCCCATTAGCCATACTGTAATTGCACCGGCTTTAGCAATAAGTAAGTCGGGGAAGAGGGGAATGAGGTTAGACTTGGGTTCTTCTGACTACCGCCTACTGGCCCTGTCGTGCTTTGGTATGGCTCGTGGGCCCACAGAATGGAGGTGACTCGCGTTCACTGTGGGGAGCGAGGTGGAAATGTAACAGGGGTAGTAACTGCCCCACTGAGGTTTCCTACTAGCGGGCTCGTGGTACTGTTGATGCTTTCCAGCTGACCAAGTGGGATTGCTTCATCTCTCTCCCTTCTTTTCCCCTCTCCAGCCCCTGAAGAAGATGGCTGACCGCATCAGGAAGTATCAGATTCTGAACAACGAGATTTTCGCCATCCTGAACAAGTACATGAAGTCGGTGGAAACAGACAGCTCCACGGTTGAGCACGTGCGCTGCTTCCAGCCCCCCATCCACCAGTCCCTGGCTACCACTTGCTAAGCAGCAAGTGCTAGTGTGGATATTAAACCCCTTTGGGATTAGGGAGGAAGAGTGACTGGATCAGAACAAGAACTGGGAAGGGGAAACTTGACAATGTGGCTCTGGCAACAAGAGAGATTGGGTACACCCGATACACACATCTTCCTATCTGGCCCTGTTTGAGTGCATGTGCTGTAGCATCCCTGTGGTTGGCTTTACCTGTAGCTTTGAGACTGGGTGTGGGAGGGGGGCAGGATGTGCTTTTCTTCCATGCAGTGGGTTGGGTTTTTTGGTTTTGTTTTTCTGTGATACGTCCAGTCGAACCCAAAACTCTGAAGCCATATTAGAGTCCCAGGTGTCGGGTTCCAGTCACGAGCTGCTCGTTTCAGAGGGCCAGAAGCCATCTCCCACTGCCGGTGCGGCCAGGCAAGTGGAACTTCCCCTGTGATGCATGACAGCAGCAGGAGGGTTTGAAGCTGTCCCGCATTTGGTGAGGCACAATAGCAGCACTTCTCACTTGGCAGCCCACAGAGGAAGAAGTCGCCTGACCAGAGAAAGGAAACCAAGTTGATTCAGAGTTTGAGTCTAGCATCACTGCCTACCTGGGGTTGGAGATTTCCCCACTCTTTTCACCATGTCTGCATTGCAGAGAGGTGGGAGACAAGATACCATCCTGGTGGTTTCCCACTCCATGCCATATCCCCACTGCTAATTCAAAAGAGGTGCCCCCTGAAGCTATATCCACCAGGGAGTAAACAATGAAATCTCCTAATGAATGCTGTGTGCTGCATTTACCTGAAAATCCCACTCGCTATATTCCTGGGGTGGGAGGAGGAATCCGTGATCCTGGCAGCCCGGCTTACCTCCAGAATGTACATGTACTTTGTTTTTTAGCCAAGGATCAAATGTCCACATTCGACAATGAGCAGGAAGCTACAATTTGTGTCCATTCTTGAGTGACGGTTTTCTTTGTTTCAAATGAGTTCCTCCAGTACATATGCCTACAGGGCATGGAGAGTTCCAGTCGGGGTGAACGGAAACCCTATTACACAGAAACAGCAGGAACCTTTAGAGCAGAGGAAATGAAATAAGCATCAGAAAGGAGATGAATATAGTACTCAGAGGGTTCTACAAAGGAAATACAGGATTCTGTTTCCTTCTGACTCTTAAACATTGTCCAAGATCCTGTGAGATTAAAAGAACCTAGCTGAAACATCAAGGAAAATTTCAGAACTCATTGTCTTCCCTTCTTCCCCACATCAACTTCTTTGAAGTGAGATGAAGGGTCTTGTTTGATGTGGCAAACGCTAAGGGGCCAGATCCGGATCTCATCTATACAGGGGTAAACCTGGAGTAACCCCATGGACTTCAGTGAAGTCACTCCAGATTTACACAGATATAGATGAGATCAGAACCTGCCCTCTCCTCACCTCTCCTAATCCACCCTGGCCTCACCCCGAGAAAGTTTTAATTTCTTGATTTTATTTAGGTTAAATCAGACCTTTGCCATTATGTAATACAGCCATGTTAATGCACTGTATGTCAACATAACCCAGACACTCTGTTCAGCTTATTTAGGACAATGCAGTGCTCTCACAAATGCTGGGAAGCCAGAGACAGTGGGCAATTACTCTGTCTGAGGGAACAGAAAGTAGATCAGTTGAAGAGGTGTCCCGACTGGACCATTCTGTCTTTGAGACCAGCAGCAAGCTCAATATTGTTGGCTAGAGGTGAATTTCTGATGAGAGATGCCTTTGTTCTCCCAGAGACCTACCTCTGTTTCCCTGGTAACCAGTGACTATCCTCCTCAAGCGCTGCTGGGCATATTTGCCACCTTGAGTTTCCTTTGGTTGCTGAGGCAGCTGTTTAAGCTACAAAAAGAAATCTCTGGTGCATTTTAATCTGAAACTAACGTGAAGGCTGAGGGGAAGATCATCTCAAATCATTGACTAAGGCAGGGAAAGACTTGAGACTGAGAGGGGGGATTCTTTTCCATCCCATCTGGAGGAAGAACAGAATGTTCAAGGACACAAACATTGAAAAGTTCTGCTTTATATATGATGTATGCTCCTCTGCTAAGGATGAGAGGCCTGGTTCCTGCTCTGTTACACCACTTTTAGCCTGATGTTACTATACTGAAGTCAGTGGACCTACATAAGTGTAAAAAAACTGGGTTAGCAGAGTGGGGGCATCAGGTATGTTATTTTTGTGTGTGTGTGAAATGAGATGACAGAAAAGATCCTAAATGGTATTTTTTATTGGGCTAAAGGGGTTCTCAAACTTCATTGCACCATGACACCCTTCTGACAACAAAGTTACTACATGACCCCGGGAGTGGGGTGGAGCCCCTGCCACCTCGGGTGGGGGAAGAGGGGGCCGCAGTCTGAGCCCCCCCGGTGCGGGGAGAGCTCAGGCTTCAGCCCTGGGTCCAGGGAGTCTAATGCTGGCCCTAGCAACCCCATTAAAATGGGGTCGCTACCCACTTTGGAGTCCCAACCCACAGTTTGAGAACCACTAGGCTAAACAGTTGTTTTGTTATTTTGGTATGAAGTCTCCCTGAACTGAAAGCACAGGTTCCTATATACAACAAGGAGTCTTGTGGCACCTTAAAGACTAACACATTTGTTAGCCCACGAAAGCGTTTGCTCTATGACCCACTTCTTCAGATGTATGGAGTGAAAATTACAGTAGGCAGGCAAAAAATATACAGCACAAGAAAAGATGGGAGTTGCCTTACCAAGTGGGGTCATCTGAAGAAGAAGTGGGTCATAGCCCACAAAAGCTTATGTTCAAATAAATTTGTCAGTCTTTAAGGTGCCACAAGACTCCTCGTTTTGGCTACCCCTCTGAAACTAGGTTCCTATACGGCCCTCAGAGCACCATCTGGGCACCACATAAATGAAATATCCAGCCCCTCCAGACACTTTTACAGAATGTTGCGGTTGTGGCCAGGCCCGCCGACCAGGGGTGGGGGGGGGCGTAAAGGGGGCAATTGCCATGGGGCCCAAGTGATTTTAAAGGGCCCAGGGGCCCAGTCGGGGGCCGCCTGCAGGGCTCCTAGGTGTGCAGGACCGCTCTAGGCCCCGCATTTTGAGGGGCCCCACGGGCCAACGCAATTGGCCAGCGCAGGCGGTCCCGGAAGTGACGAATTCGTCACTTCCACCCCGGACTCCACCTCCGATGGGACGGCCCTGGCCCTGGGGCCGGGAATTTCTGTCGGCGGGCCTGGTTGTGGCACAAAACACTACAAGCTTAATCCATAAGGGTGAAGTGTACCACACGGCCTGGCTCCAGCAGCTAGACGCAATCGGCTGTACGCAGTTAAAGCCTGTCTGCCAGCGCTTAGGCTCTGAATGAGTTGTGGTGTATTTCACCACGTATGAACGTCAGCTTGCGAAATGGAATGTTCTTTTGCTGTTGATTTAGGGGATTAATTCTTGAGGCCTAGAAAGCACAGTTGGATGAGCTGAAATGGAATGCAGAGACCAATATATGTGTGTGTTGTCCATGAGCGGGGAATTTGCTTGAACAAAATGACCTTCCCACCCTTCTCAGGACCTGTTGGAGGGGATCAAAAATTATGAGCAGGAAACCAAAGCCTTATGATCAAAACAGAGTATATTTCAGCTGTAGGGTTTATGCGGGTGTTTTACCCTGTTGCTCAAGTGATGTGGGATGGCAGCGAGGGCTCAGTCATACAACCTTTATTCATGCAACTTGATTTCAATACCCTTTTCTACCAAAAGGATGCAAGTCAGTTGTGTAGATCTTGGCTCCAGTTCTCAAATCCTCCTTTACTGCATGTTAGTAAGAAGGGTTTCAAGATTGGGCCCGTAAGCCATTGAATGAACTGGACAACCTTTTCTTTTTTGCTTGTTCTTTTTAATCTAATCATCTTTAATGGAATTAAGGTGCAAATTATTAACAGTGAGGGTAATTAACCACTGGAACAGATTACCAAAGGGTGTGGTAAATCCTCCAGCACTTGGGGTATGTCTACACTGCAGTGTAAGCTCAGGGTTCGAACTCTGGTTCAAGCCTAACCCTGCTACCGTCTACACACAAATTGTGCTAACCCTGGGCTTGGAACAAGGGCCCCATGGACTCATGCTCGGGTAGCCACCAAAAGTATCCCACAATCCCATGGGCTAACTTTCTATGTTTTCTGGACAGTCAGGTTTCTCCACTCTGCACCACAAAGGGCTAGAGCAGCCATATTTGGGGATGGGGGGAACTAGCAAGTCTGGGATATGGTGGTTGGACTCAGGTCTGCATAGTGCAGTGTAGATGCTGGTGCTCCAGATTGAGAGCCGGGGTTCAACAATTCCTAACCAGGAGTTACAAATGAGTGTAGACTCTCAAGGCCTAGGTTAACAAACACATGTTCTGCTCACTTAAGTTCTACTAACCCTGCGCTTACATTGCAGTGTAGACGTACCCTCAGAGTCTTTAAATCAAGACTGGATATATGTCTTCCTTATACGCACACAGAAGTTGTTGGGTTTGATGCAGCAATTAGTGGATAAAATGTTGTGGCTTGAGTTATGCAGGAGGTCAGACTAGATTATCATAATGATCCCTTCAGGCCTCAAAAATCTATGAAATGTGAGTATTTGCAGTGCACAGCCCCATTCCTTGATGACGACATACTTGATTTTGAGCAGCCCAGTAGAAAAGGGGAAATCAAACCAACTCAAACTCTGTACTTCAATCACATTCTTTTCTCCAGCAACACTTGTTAGGAGTGGGGAACACCACTCTAGTCCTTTTTCTCCTGTATTATTCCAGTTCCGTTGGTTTATGTGTTTGTGAACCAGAGCAAAACTTTGTTCTTGAAAGTGTAAAAAAAAAAAGTTTGCAAGAACACTTGTCCAATGTACCATATTTGTACGAAGAGCTGCTTGGGGTTTTTTGTACAATGAATTTAAATTTATTTATGGTGAAGTATATTTCTGCTCGTGATTGAATATGGTGTTAAATTCATGAATCATTTTTCTGTGCAGCCGGAGATGATGTTTTGTATTTTGTTGTTGTTCCTATGTTGGTCAACAGAAGCTTCCATCTCTATTAAAAATGCTTCTGTGATGATAAAGCACCTGGTACCCAGCAATATGTCCCATAACACAACCACCACCAATGTGTACCGCAAATGTGGGAGGATTTTTGTAATTGGGAAAAATAAAAGTGGGGCTCATTGGAGAAGTGGGCAAATCCTAAATTATGTCAAATTATGCCTGCAAAAATGGCAGGCTGTTGAATGTCACCAAAATTTTTGACTTTTTGTCAAAACCCAAACATTCTTCATGTTTCAGGCTCTCCCTTTTCCAACAACAAGAAAAATGAAAAATGTCAAGGGAAAACACACTTTCTGCAAAATTGAGTTGCAAACCCAGTTCGCAGTCACACACACAAAGCTTTGATGGTAGAGCGGACAAGCCCGACTCAACACAGGTTTGAACTATGGTCCAGATTCTCTGCACTAGCACAGCTCGCTGTGTCCAAAAGGGCTTCTGCACTCCAGCAGGTTCTCGCTGACACCTTCTCCCAGGGGTTAGTCCCACTTGGATGCACCCTTCATGCTTCAGTTCCCTAAGGGCACCATAGAAGTTGCAATGCAGAGGAAACACACTTGCATCAGTGCATCCTATCTTTACTGGCCTAAAGTGGTCAGGACCTTGGTTTTAAACCTCAGGCCCCTCTAGAAGCACAATGCCTGCTTAACACCAGGTGAAGGGACTGCTTCTGTAATGATCAGAGGGGAAAGAGTGCCAGATTTTGGATCATCCACATTGTAGCCTGCATCACTTAGAGGTCTCTTGAAGTCAGTATAGCTGAAGAGATAAAGGTAACTTTTAGCACCGGACTGTGGGTCGGGAAAGGAGGGAAAATAAATTTAACTGAATCAAATTCACAGAACCTAAAAAGATACTCCTGCCTTAAGAGGGCACACTGTCTGTGGCAGGGCCGCCGTAAAAACGACAGCTTCAGAAGATTGCTTCTGGGAAAGGCCTCTGAAAGTGAATAGGAACAAAACGTATAGGCTTCCATGGAAATAAAATGGGATCCTTTCTATATGTTGTTTGCAGTGTTCGCGTGGGTTTGAAAACAGTCCGATGAAATTCTACAGCAGGGACAGAATTCCTTATTTTCAGTTCTATAGAACTTTTGCATAAAGGATAGCTGGGGAATGAGTCTGGCTGACAGAAAAAAATAAGATTAAAGGAACTACGTAAGTACAAAGCATATGATCTCATTACTGTCGTTTTATTATTTGGCTCAAAAGTGCCCACATTTGCTCAAAACTCGTGTCCAACATTTCCACACACCCAGGGTGCCTTTCATGTTTGTGACAACCTCTCCCCCCCCCCCAAAAACAACCATCTGAGTTTCACTTGATTTCCACTTTTGGGGTGAGTGTTTTGCAGATAAGGGATCAACAAACAAAGTGACCTTTGGAAGGGTGTGTCACTTGGCCTCTGTGCTCTGTCCTTACAAAACCCACTTGATCTGACGCCTGGAAGCCTCTAATGAACGTCCCTATAGTTATCCTCACTAGTCTAGTGGAATCTCCATACCTTAGCTGCAAATTGCCAGGCATTCAGCCTATCTCTGGATCAATAGCAGATAACATTGAGTTTCCCCCTCCCTCAGCACTTGATGCGGGTGCATATCAATTGCCACTTGTCTTCTCCTGCCATGGATACAAAGGAGAGCAGGACGCCCATAAACATCCCGTGGCAGCAAGATGGGACATGTGACTTGCTGCTTCTTCAGGAAAACTCTCTTGGCCTTTTGCCTGCAGGAATTCACCTACAACTGCTTCTTGGGGAGAATGCAAAAATCAGTGAGGGATGCGAAAGAAAACTCCCCGGAAAATATAGCACATCTTAACGCTGCAGCCCCTGGGAAAGCTGCCAGACTATCTGGTATTCTACCCTCATTACTGGGCCAGTGCAAAGTCAGGCATAGAACCTGGGGAAGCCAGACAGACAGGCCTCTGCTGTAAAACAGTAATGCCAATGTCAGGCATTCAAAAATATGAGTAAAGCCCTCCAAAAATGAGATTTTAAAAAAAATAATAAATGTGGAGTTCTGTTAATTTACTTTTTGAGGCTTTAGGATGTACTTGGGTCACACTTAACCCTTTTTTCCACATCCATGAAGGCTAGAAACTTTTTTTTTAATGAAATAGATTTTTGTGAAATAACATGACCCCGTCTAGATATTATTCTGTCATGAGAGTGAGCAACACTGGAACCACCAGCTCACCCCAGACCACGGTTATGTTGAGAACTGCTGAATTAAAGGCTGTTTTCTCACTGAAGTC